AAAAAAAAAAGAAGAAGAAGGAAAAAAAGAAAAGAAAAGAAAAATCTTTTCGCTTCGTAAATATCATGTAACATGAAAATAGGAAGTTGCAGCAAATGCGAACGAGCACGTGAAACTGAAAGATGACCGAGAAACCGGCTTTCTCGTAGTAAAAAGAAAAAAAGAAAGGAAAACGGAACGTTCGCGCGGCCATCGACTTTAGTTGGAACGATCAATGTCTCGCGGAGAGTTGCTTCTCTGTTTCCTTCCGCAGAAATATTTCGCGATATCTCATCGGCTGTTTTTTTTTTCCTCTTCCTCTTCTTCTTCTTAACCTCTCAGGTGCGACGTAATTCCGTGAAAAAGTATGAATCTTTTAGAAGATTTGTCCTTACAGTATAAAAAAAAAAAAAAAAAATCGAATTTACTTTTACGAATTTACTGTAACAGTTCCATTTAGTGCGATAAATGAAGTATTTTTGTAAACCCAAGTCTACTTTTAACATAAAGGCTTGCACAATTCGGGCTAATGTTATTAGTGGAAGTTTACAAGTTACAAGCTGTTAGCACTAGTAAACTCTTCTTACGTAATCCAAGTTAAATTTGGCAAGTACATTTTACAAATTTCAATTCGACGAATTACTATATTTCGCGCAAGACTATAAAAAAGACATAACCTACAATTTTACTAATCGAATCGATTAGTATTATCGGTTGATAAATTATTCTGCAATCGTACTTAAGTTCATAAGTTCACGAGTCACATATTGATAGTCGACTAATATTACTAACTGATTAATATATATAGTAAATATAGATAAAGTCTTTTATATATTTTTCTTTCGTTTCAAGAAATGTACGTACACAGAATGAACTTCTATCTTATCTAATGTCATTATCATAGTAAATCAGTTGTTAATTTTGTTTATCGTATCATCCACAACATCAATATCGATTGGCTGTGACGTCAATGTCTTCGTTAACGAAAACATCATTTTGTGCAACTAAGCAGAATGATAGGAAGAAAAAGCAATCTCGAGTATCGATACAAAATATGAACTTCGATCGTATATTTAAGACATAGTTTCGTGCGGTGTACGAACTTCAAATCGCTATTGGAAACACCAGGATAATAAATAGTACACTGATATTTCGCAGTAACAGGAGGATTAATGGCACCGCGAGGCGATTTTATTAAAATAGAAAAGCCAATAGATTCCACAAGATTGACGTTTATGAAATTTCGACTGGTTCGCGATCGATCCGCGCTGCTCCATTTGCCGAAACGTGCTTTCGCGGCATTTGCGTGTCGGGAATTATTCGAGAAAACGATTCTACGCGCAATAAACGATCTAAACGGGATTTTCACATATTCTGTCTCATTGCGTGCGATAGAGGCTAATACGATTTCATAAAAGATGAAGGAACATCTTCGATTTACTTTTCTTTTTCTTCTTGTTTCATCCCTTAGATATCAAAAGCTACTAATAAGATACATAAAACGTGGAAAATGTCGAAGACTTATTCAGAGGAGGAGGTGGCGAAACACAATAACGCTGCGGATTTATGGATCGTGTACAAGGACGGCGTGTACGACATCACGAAATTTTTAAAGGAACATCCAGGTGGCGAGGAAATATTGTTGGATTTAGCTGGGAAAGACTCGACAAAATGCTTCGACGACATTGGACACTCCACAGAGGCTATACATCTTCGCGAAACCTATAAAATCGGAACGGTGGTGGGTGATCTTTCCGGAACAAAAACGTTAACAGGTGATACGTTGTCACATACATTACAATATTTTAAATTAGAAGTCACGTTCGTGTACTCATTTCGCATTCACTGTAATTATAAGTAATGATACATATGAAATGTGCGCGTCATTACATTTAAAAATGACATTCGAAAAATTGATAGACAAAAAAAAAAAATTGCCACCGACTCATTGTTAAGCATGAGACTAACTTCATGCATATTTATGCGCTTTGTGTGTATACTGCGAATATTATATGAAATATTCCATTTGAGAGAAGTTTCATTTTCAATTTTTCATTCGCTACAACGCAATGCTAATGAAAAATTAAATTCAAAGCTAAAAATATATATTTAAAAAATTTGCAAGGTATTTATTGTAGACACATTAGTGCAAGCAACTATTTTAAATATTCAATAAGTGTTAAAAATAATGGCATTAAATTGCTGGTATATTAACGTAATGGATTATATACATAAAATAGAATATATTACAATATTTAATGGATAAAGCAAACTTCTCGTAGATTCCATTTCTTCAATGACGTTAACAAACATTTTAAAACGCATTCTGCTAATGAATAGTTGATTATTCAAAGACTTACATGATCTATGCAAAATACATACCAAGTGTTTTCACGATAATTCAACGATCATTTTACTAATGTAATGGCAACGTTGGTTCAGTATCGTTACAATGTTAATATTATAACAGACCGGGCAGTGTATTTAAAAAAAGTCAACACGAGTATTGGAACATTTTCGCAAATCGTCAGATTTCCTTTTCAATTCAAAAGATTTAGTAATTGAAATTAATTTTTTTAAAAAAATAAAAATTTTATGATTATTTAGAATTTTATTATTAACTATTTCTTATTCAATTGGTATTATAATAAATTTATTAAATAATAAATTAATATTAAATATAATTTATTTTTATGAAGATAAAGTAATAAATTTTTGTATAATATTTGTAATAATTGTTCGGTACTTATTTACGCGTGAAACGAGTTGAAGAAGTAATGAGATTTGAAGAAATTCCGAAGGAGTACTCTTAATTATAGACTGATTTCTGTTTAGCAGGCGTGCAAGACACGAGAATAGACGACGACAAATGGGAATATGAGCCACCGAAGTACGAACGGTCACCGTGGCTTCCGGTGACGATCGCAGTTGGTGTCGTCGTTTACGCATCCATATTTTATTACTTTTGGTACTCGTAAGGGGAGCAGAATTAGGACAAATGTCAGATACTGACCAATAAAACGTTCATTCGTTCATGAAAATTACATGTGAATCTTTTTTTTCTTTTTCATTTCTCAAAAACACAAAATTAGGACACGATGCATTTATTTAAACGATTCGAGAAAGTGAACTTTAGCTACAAACATTTTATCTGCAGAAAAGAGAAACATATATCGACTCGAGTTCAATTTCTTCGTTCTCCGTTTCAAACCGCGAGAGAGCAACTAAATGTATCTTGATCGTTTCGCTTCGCTCTTTTTTTTTCTTTTTTTTTTTTTTTCAAATCGCGACTGATCGAGGCGTTCCCATTTAATTTCGATCGCAATCTATTTTTCAATATTTAAAAATACGGGCACGACGAAATGATGTTCTCCGACGTCTGATTCAATCTATCTCTCGATATTCTGGGGCACATCGCGCGTTTAAATTAAAATTCGTGTCACGAAAATTCAGCCGGGCAAAATCTGCTCCCGTATCCGGCCACGCGATCAATAAAACACGCTGTTTTTTTTTTCTCTTGTTTTTATGTTATACTCGCGAACCGGCATCGCAATAACCGTTTCACGCCGAACTTTCGCGGTCGTTTGTATCTCGATACGTAATATCGGGCGATTAAACAGGTGAAACGTAATTGCGAAACGCGTGGGAAAGATTTGTCGTCGCAAGGTCGAGACGTTGTCCCGTGGAAATTATCTCGAGATGGCTGCGAATAATGGCGGTGAAATTTCGTTGATTTAGCGAGATTCGTACAGCCTAACCGGGAGCACAAATTTCCTCGTCATCGTGACTGGCAGCCTACAGCTGACTGTTGCCAACATTCTAAACCTGCGAGTCCGCGTTTTAACCGACATCGGTGGCCTGTCTCTCTCGAGCTGCGCACGTAATTAAAAGAAAAAANAAAAAAAAAAAAGGAAAAAAAAGCGTACGGAACGTCGTTTCCGAAATTTCGTCGCCGGACAATCGGACAACGCTGGCGCGTGAAACGAAAACAGTCGTTCAAATAAGCGAATTTCAAAGCGAAAACAGACGGAACATTTGGGAAATTACTAGCCACCGCGGCGGTTGTTGTTACGACCCGATCTAGTTTCATTTGCAAGCGTAATTGTATAGAGAATTTCGGTCGATTGACGCTCGTTTAATTAATTGCCGTTATCCAAATTCATCGGTAACCGTCGACTTTGTCTCCATATATTTCTTTCTGTTTCTTTTCACACGGCTCGGCGTGACGTTCGTTCGACTTTACAAATTCTTGAACACCATTTTTCCAAGAAAATCACGTTGAAACGTGAAAAAAAGAAAAGAAAAAAAGAAAAATCGAGCGTCTGGCGTCATGTTCGCGTGACACGTGCACTCGCGATCCGCGCAGCAAGAATTAACCTAATGTCGAGTCGCATTCGCAAGAATGTATTCAAGTACTACGTGATGTCACCAAGGCTTCGGACGCATGACGAAGCAGTATTCACAATGGATATGGTCGCGCTACGTGGCCAGCGCGTAGAGAGCTTCCATTGAATGCAGTTGCATGCGGTTTAATGCAGTTCCGCATGCGATGATACGATCAATATTCAAAGTGAGTTCGAATTCAGGCTGATTCTCCACGGAACACGGCGATCATCGATTCGCAATCGCTTCGCGAAAGTATTCGGACAAGCTGGATACATCGTGAAACAAGTTTTACGTATTGTTTACGTGTTGCGTAACACATTTTCAAATTTGAACCAACACGTTCTGCACCGCGTTGCTCACACGTGAAAGAAACGCAACATACGTCTTTCAATATGTAATAAAACGAAAAAAAAAAAAAATTGAATTAGATTAATAATAAAAAATAAATAAGATAAAAAAGTAAAATTTGATGTAATAATAACAAAATAGTGATTTAATGAGGGGGCGAGACATGAAAATATTTGGGAAAGATTTATATAAAATACTTTGGCAGGAAACATGTTAACGTTGTAACGAGAGATGACTGAGAACGTATGTACATAGAAGTTATATGTAAGGTTAGTGAAAAATTAGTATAAAGCACGAGCAAACATCGTAAGTATGTAATAAATGTTAAAAATAATCCTACCGATTACTGACATTGTGTGAAAACACACTTCTGATTTCTGTGAAATGTGCACTGGTTTTCAATATCTTTTAATTTCTATAAATATTTTCAAATTTGCTTCAAGCTTGAACGTCACTAGAGCACTAATGAAATTTCAAATTATGTGTCCACGAGAAGTTCCTCCGCGCGATCGAATGTTTTCGCGAGCAGCTGTATATTATCGTTCAATTTTATTACGCGAGAGCGGTACGCTCACGATAGCAAAAACTACGCACAACGTTCAATAGCTCGTTATCTCGAAAAACAAAATGAAAATCACTGCTCAACCAGTAAATTAAAAGATATCGAAAGTGAACCAACCAAGAACCTCTTGCAGCGTGTTCTTTTCCAGAAGTTCATTGATCTCATGCAGGGTTCGCCACAAATACTACAAAACCGTTCCATTTTCATTCTACAGCTGCGTACTCGTGAAAATGCCGCTTAATGCCAGTCCATCATCTTCTTTCATAGAGATAAAGTAACAGATACGTTCATAAAGCATGGACCAGGAAGAAGAAATGTTTTTGATTCGTCGACAACGTGATTTAAAGACGATTAACAATCGCGACTACCCGAAACACTATCAAAAGAAACTTGTCACGATCAATATTAATTTTATTCCTCGTTTTGTAACGAACGTGCAATCGCGGTTTTCGCGTCCTCGTATCAAAGATAACACTTTGAATTCACTCGCGAAACTTCCATAACGATTAAACTGAAGGCACATTCGCCCATATTCGTCAAACCGTTTCACGGTATATCCCAAAATTTAATTACGATACACGATTGCGTTATCAACGTATCATGTGAACATTCTAAACTTTTTTTTTTCAGAAAAGAAAGAGTTGCTACAACGTAGGAAGATGATGTTATAATTTTGAAATGAACATATTTATAAGCATCTTTTTAATCGAACTGTGATAGCAGTGCGTGATTAATGTTACGATAACAAAGCAAATATTTCGCTCCGTTTGATTAGGTACACGATAACGTCAACCCTGATTTATTTATTGGTTGTTTCCATTCAGAGTATTATACACTACGAAAAGAAATGCTCGAGCAAAACAAAAGTTCTGATAAATGCAGGATATGAATGATCAACGAAACCTTCCACTAGCAATTTCTATCTAGAGTCGCCTAAATACAGAGCGGCGCAAAAGTATTCGTTTTAATGCTTGAAAAAAGTAGCGCAAGAACTTTAAACGATAATAAACTGTCGCTGTTTATTTGCGAAACAATATATAATCCAATTCGAAAATCTTTCTACAATCCTGCGATGGAATTATAAACTTCAAAAAATGTTTTAGGATCTTAGAATCATTCTGTATCAAGCTATGAAATTTAGCGTTTCATTATTTTTGTACTATTATTTTGCAGAATTGATATAAATTCTAAAATGTTTTTAGCCAAATTTTTATGAAATTTTCTACTATCGTGTCTCTGCCATTGAAATATATAATACTTTGTGTTATTTTGCAAAGTAAATTCAAATTCAAAAATTTAACCAAGATAACGTTATTTTTAGAAATTCTGAAATCTAAATTTACAAGATAAAAGCATTCTCATAAACTCCGCAGTTTCTTTATCGCTTAATAAACGATAAACGTGCATGTCCAATAGGTACAAATTTCAAAATACGTATACAAAATTTGCAAGACATTGTATTTCTATAAACTCTAAAATCTTGACACGAATCTTACAAAAACACTGTTCCTAGCATGTTATTATTATTATTTCTATTATTCGTAATGTTATTATGTATAAATTTCAATTATAGAAATAAGTCCAACGTCATTCTTTATAAATTCCAAGATCTAACTTAATCGTGTCTCTAACATCGTTACGTTGTTTTCATGCCTTATATAACAGATGCAAATTCCCCTCACTATGTTATGATAAGAAATATCATGGTAAAAAATGTAGACAAACGTTATACATATTATACATATAGTAAGTACTAGTAAAGTATAATAAAGTAGTATAGTAAAGTAAAGACTATACTAAAAAATTATAGCAAAAGTATTTAACACGTTTGAGACAGTGTCGGTCCCTGCGGTGTCGAACATTTTAATGGACTTTATAGGGTCTGATAAATACACTTGGATTTTTATTAATACAAAAAATACACGTAAAAAGAAAGAACTGTAATTTATAATAACATTATAAAAAATACATGCTCGACTTCGTCTCGAATGTGTTAACGAGCAAACCTCTTGAATAATTTTGGTACGCGTCTTCGCCGAGCCTTGACTGTCGTTTGTTCAATTGGAATTCGAACCAACATTGGACAATTAGCACGACTAACTACGTCATATGTAAGACCATCGGTAAAAAGAAAAAAAAAAGAGAAAGTAGTCCTAGTTAGTATCGACCTTCGTTACCAGCAGTTACACGTATGTAAATATACAACAGCGATAAATATGGACGCGCTTTAACGCCAGAGCGACCAATCCATACAACAACAAACCATCCATCTACGTAACAATTTCAACAAGAAGCCGACGAATCTCGCGTATGCGAGCAACATCCAATCTTTCCAACGTTAGGTCTCTCCGTACGGCAGATCGACTGAAGAGAGGAGCTCGCGAACGAGTGGGAGTCGAAGATGATAAAGGGCCCCTGGTGGGGCAGCATCTAGAGGGGGCAAGGATAAAGCTACTACGGACTGACCTGGTTCGTGGCAGTGTTTGTGCCGGTGCAGCCTCGTGAGCAAACTCGTCAGAGTCGGTTCTCGTTCGAGCATCGTTTCCTCCCTTTCGTTCGTTCACGTTCTTTCCCTCGGCTCTTTTCTCCCGCGGAGCCACACACACACACACACACCGAGAAAGAGAGAGAGAGAGAGAAAATACACATCGAACGGAAGGCAGACACGCCACGCCACACTACGGGTCGCAGAGAATCGACCAAGGAATCTGAAAATTGTGAACAGTCGAGGCGGCGAGAAACCGTGCAACGGACTGCAGCCGCGTTTCTCACACGATCGAAACATAAGCGAGAAGGTACGAGGTTAGCGTGTTCTGCTTTTAAATAATCAATCATGGACAGCCTCAACGGCCCGGTGACGAGCCGTAGGAAGTGAACGAGTGTGATACGTGTGCCTCGTGGAACATGCGATTCCGGCCAGAATCAGACATGGCCGACGTGAAAAAGAGGCGCTTCGATCGGAGCGTTCCTCCTCGGTGATTCTGATCCTCTATCGACGATCTACCGACGATATTCCTTCGACAATATATACACATATATATACGTGTGTGTGTGTATATCTTCTCTCTCTTTTGCCTTTGAGACCCAACAGAACTTTCCTGCACAGTGTTTCTTTTTTTTTTTTTTTTTTTTTTTTTTTTTTCATTTTAAAACGATTTCAAACAGAATGTCGTACGATCGAGTTTAAAATTGGAGCAGTTCAGTTCTGTCAATGCTGGAACTATTTTCGTATGTTTACAGCGGAATGGTGAATAAGTGTATAAAGAATGACGCAATTGCTATACGTGTTTTCAAGGTGATCGTTATTAGCATTTCCCATTGAGCGTGAGTAGTCCGCGAAGTCGTTTCAGCTAGCTCCACGTATACCACGGGAAGCCTCGATATTTAATTACATCGTGGCTAATTAAATTGCTCGATCGATCATGCCGTTGCTCCAACATTCAACACTCGTTGTCTCGTGACTCTCGTTTTTTATTCCGCCGAGGGAATTCGTCGCGGGCTCGTGGTAAGATCGATACAGCACTGAGAGAGTCACTAGAAAAAGCAAAGAATCATCGCTCGTACTGATTGGATAATCTTGATGACCTTCGCGCAATCATGGAGCGATGGCGTCGAAAATCTGCCTCCGGTCGAGTTGGAATTTATTCTCTGACCGCTCCGAAAATATTTACACCTCTTCCTTCGTTTTTGAACTCGATGATCACGCCAGTGAAAAGGATCATAAATTTTTACCACAGCTTTAGATTGAATTTCTAAAAAAAAAAATCTTGGCTCCGTCCGCGAAATAGTTTACTCTCAATCTCTTGCGATCTTTCTCGTTGGCAAAGTAATTTTTCTTGATAGAGAATAAAATACAGAATAACGCGCAGAATGGAAAAAGCGATTTCGAGGTAATAACACTTCAGAGAGTAATTAATTACCGGCTTGTAATTTGCCGAAATGAATGTTTCGTTCATAAATATTTAAACCTTGGTCCATCAACTTTTCGCTTTCTTCCTCCTTTCTGAATGAAAATTTGCCTTTTCATAATGAACACTCGGACCTTTTGTCACCGATGGAACGCATCATTTTCTAATTACGGTCTCCAAAATCGCGAAGACCATTGAACGTAAAGTCTATTCATATACGTAGAGCCTGGCTATCGGTACCGCGATTTTCATTATCTCCCTAGCAACGATCGATCGTTACATAATGAAACGTTTCGCGAGACGTTTCATCGTGTCGCGACTAGAAGAACAATCAGCTCGACAAATAACGGGCATCGAGCAAACGGCACGGCGGGTAGGATGCTCCGATAAAATCGTTATCGATTATCTGTCGAAAAAGAAACCGTTCTGCTGACCAACGAAACAAATGCGATATCGTAGCTTTATCGATCGAGCTATTTTATCAACGTGACATTAATATTTTTCACCGATGTTCTCGTTAATAAAGTACCTGTCTTAAAAAAAAAAAGAAAGAAAAAAAAACGATCTTATAAAACTTGAAAATCACGTAGAGCATGACGAAGCTAACTCTGCAGTTGTTATTGCAGCAATTAACAACCAATAATCATACCACTAACATAACGTGACTCCGCGTATTTAAAACTTAAATTGTTATACGATGTTTCTATTTCAGTATTCAATTCGATATTGTGAGTTTCAGCAAAGATGTAAGTTGCATATTTTCAGTGCGGAATGAATTTGTAGAAAAACGTGCACCAAGTGCTCCATAAATTTTAAATCGCTCGAAATTCACGACGTAGTTGTATAATGCAAATGAAAGCAAGTTCCGCAAGATACATAGACATTTATCACGCGGAGATGACGCGATTTTGGAGCACAATGATTGAAAAAACCGCGTCTCGCTGACCCTTCTTTCATAAAAATTATTCACGTGCCCTCTTCGCATATTATCTGGCAACTTTATCGACTGAAGGGAGTTGAGTTCCTGCATCTCTGGCGTTTCTTTCTGGCCGACAACACACGTATCCAGCGATCGACGAAAGAAAGAACTCCAATCTCTTTCGACGTATCTTCGATGAGAACTAAACTAACTGAACTAACCCAAAATCTTTTAATTTCAGAATTCCCGCCGATAGGATGAGCAAACAGTACACGAGGAGCGAAGTTGCCAGCTCCAACAACTCCAAAGCTCAAACGCTGTTCATCATACACGACAAGGTGTACGATGTGACGACCTTTTTGAACGAGCATCCAGGTGGCGAGGAGATCCTGCTGGATCACGGCGGTAAGGACGCTTCGGAGGACTTCGACGACGTAGGCCACTCCAAGGACGCGTTAGACCTGATGAAGAAGTATCTGGTCGGCGAACTGGTCGAATCGGAAAGAACGGGCGGCAAGCCTAAGCAGACATGGACGTCGGACTACTCGAAGGATAAGCAAAACAAGGACAACCAAGGACTGTCGCCTTTCGTCTGGGTGTCGGCCCTCGCCGCCGTGATGGCCGTCGTCTACTTCGTGTACTTATAATTGTATAATTCTTCCTTCCCCCTCCAAGAAAAAAAAAAAAAAAAGAAAGAAAAATGTTGTGTTCCATTGCGAAAGAAAGAACGAAAATGCTGGAGGCGATCCGCCTTGAAGTGTGAATAATTTTTCTTTGTAACGTGTTACACGTTGGCTGAATAATAGTTGGCACTACTTTGAATGTTACGCAGCTAACCTGTGCACCGATTTTCAATTTTTTTGTAAAACAGAATAGAAATATTGCTTTTCTTTTTTTGGGAGCAAGCCCCGGTAATTTTCACGAATCGTTTCCAAAACCTTCTTCGAATTGTTTCCTCTGTTCACCTTCAACGCGCACGTTCTTCGAGGAAAATAGATCCCATTTTTATACGCACGCTTCTAAATGACGTCGTTTCATCAGTATCTATCCCGATCAGGCTCGAATTCAAGCCGATTTCAATCCTCATTTACATAGACAATTATTCGCGTCCAACTATCCGAGGATACAGAAAACAGAACGAAACTCCTCGTTGGTATTGTTTCGTCGCAGCAAAAGAAGGAAAAATTACGAATCGATCTTATGTGTAATCCGCGGGAGAGGGGGGGCGCGGAGAGATCGCGTTTGACCCGCAGATCCCTCTCGATCGAGTATAAATCGATGTCTTGAAGAAGAATCCCGGCGAGCATTTGCATTCGAATGGCTCGCATTACAAAAGCCTCGTTGCAAGTTTTCAACGAGAGGAGGTAGCCGAGGTAGAGACGCGATCCGATCCGATCGAACCTCCGTTCGTTTGGATAAGAGATGCAATCCTCTCTTCGATCGGTGCTGTTGCACGTCGTACACCCGCTAATTTCTGAAGCTTCATCCAGGTGAAAACAAATTGAAGCATGCGGATCACGTAAAGAGCGCCGGTGTAAATTAAGTTCTCCCCCCTCGATGCGACGACTGATCGCGCTCGATTTGCCCATATAAATCGTTTAACGCGCGCTGATTTTCATCCGCATCCGAGACTCGAATATACGAATTTCCAGCGACTGGAAATTCATTGGCCGTTTCGCTCACTCTTCTGTCCATTCCGTTCGACAATGTCAGCCACGATCGTACACGATTTCATTCATCGAGATCGGGACGAATTAAAAACATGATCGTTGATCTATTTTGGGCATACGCGAATACGCCCGATCGGCCCATCGTTTCGATTTTATTGCCATCTCGGGTGATTGGCAAATAGAGCCGATGAATAATTTGGCGGACTAATTGGGAGGAAATCAAAAGCATTAACGAAGCGGACCGATTCTCTGTGTCAACTGGAGCGCATGAATTTAACAATGCGAGAAAGGTCGAAAGGGGAGAGGCGGCAGGGTGATGGAATATCGGAGGGGAGGCAGAAATTATCCAAGAAAGGTCAGTCCTTTGCGTCCGTTTCCGTCAAATGGACAATTTCGATCGAATTTATTTGGAAAATTCCGAATGTCTTGCAGCATGAAGATACTTTACGAGCAAATCAAATAAGTAGCAATCGATAAGATTAGATACTAAGCATTGTCTACATGTTTCATAACGATGAAGTTTTCAAAGAGTCATCGTTCTTCTACTCCTATCTCATTGATATGTTCAATGATACGATTATCTCGTGTATATATACATGTAAGTGTAGACAACTACATACGAAAAACGAGGAGAAACAGAAAATGATATTATTTTATTCATAGTGTTCTTGTTTACTGTGCAATATAAGTTTTATAAAAATAAAATGTCTATCAGATTAATAATTTCTCGACACAGTTGAATTATTAGAGAACTGTATCGATTAATACATAAGAAGAACTCTTGCCGAGTAAATTCATTCATATCTCTAAAAATAGCAGAGATATTCGAGGTTATTATTCAAAATTATTATCCCCCCCCCTCCCTCCCTCCCAATACTGTATATCAAGTATTTGTTTATTAATTTCGATGTCTGAATTGATTTCCAACGTGCAACTGCTACAATCAATCGGATTACATCAACGACAAGAAAAATCGAAGACCTCCTCTTCAGTGCTGTCCTTTCTCGTCTGAACGAGCCAATAAATCTGTCTCGAGGATCGGTATCATAAAAAATAAAGAAAAATAAAAAAAAAAAAACAAGAAAAAAAATAAACGGATATTCTTCTTCGAGCATATCGTTTCCAATGGCTGGTTTTTACTTGCAAACGAAGTTCAAGGGGATTAAGAAGCCACTTCATCTTTCGAATCGATGTCAAGCGGCCCGAGAGACCAACAAGATAGCCGAGATATCATCTTCCTTCGTCAACGAAGGAATTCTTCACGAGTGACAAAGGGTTGAAAGGTATTATTAAATATTCCGCCGTTAGCAGGAAGAAAGCCACTTAATCGACATGGGACGAGGGACTAATGCGGTTTCCAATCGATTCGCCTCGTTTCAAGCGTCCGCCGACTCCTTCTTCCTCGAGCATCCTTATTTTTCTTCACAATTCCCTTCCCGTTCGTGTTTATCGTTATCGTTGCCTTCGTCGTTCGCTACTCGCCTCTAATATATTCGAGGAAATTCAATTACTTATTACACGATCTTCTGGTCGTGCGATCGTTGCCTTTGTCCTGCTCGTCATCGTTACGGCTCACCTTTGTTCCCCCTCATCGTCGTCACAGTTATACCTCGTAGCGGGCGAATAAAGAGCGCGTCTTTATAGCAACACGCGAGTATTCTCCAAACGAGTTCGAGGAATGATTTTAACAAGACCGATCTGCACAAGGAAATACCGGATTGTGTGGCATCTCTTTAAGAAAGCAAACGTCGATTGTCTATTGTGCCCAGACTTTCGCGATACGATCCTTTTAGTCAATGATACGAGTGTCAACTCGTAAATCAAGAATACCAAATTACGTACAGCTACGTTAACTTTTCACACTTGTCTCTTTTCACTTCATTCGACCTTTGTATCAAGGAATAATCAAACGCCGTGTGAATTTTAAATTTCTCTCCGTTCTCAAGAAATGTTCACGTCGAAAAAGCGTCGGCAACGAACGACGACTTCAGGGGCCACGAGTGAAACCCAGATCAACCGCAAGCCAGTAGAACAGTCTCCTTTACGTAACAACGATCCCTTGTTCCTCGACTTCGGTAGCAAAAAGACGAAGGAAGCGGCGGAGGGGGTGGGCGGAAGAGCACCCGGCAGCCAGCACGAGAAGCAGATGGCGAGCCATCCGCTGGCCGATGTGGAAAGGATGTGCGGTTTTCCACATGTGTCAACCGGTCGTTCAGAGCGGTTCTCGCCGCAAACCGCGTCCCATCGGAAGAAAGCGAGCTTCTACTCGGGGGTCAGCGCCGAGCCGGAAGTCACGCTCACGACGAGTGGGAGGCACCCACGTTTCCGCGAGAAGAGGAGCAAGACACTGGCCCACGACCGTTCGGTTAACGATCGCGCGGCAATTCAATAATTAACGTAAACGACGAGCACGAACACGCGCCGATGCATGCCACAGGTGAGAAGTTCCTGTGCGCGGTTATTCACGCGTCAAGAGCCCGTGGCAATTAGGCGAAAGCGAGCTCCTAACGCTTCGACTTGCTACCGTGATGACTTGGCAAAGTTTGCGGATCGCTAATTTGGCGACGTTCGATCGTTAATCATGGACGTTCAGCCGGTTCAAGATGAACAAACCGCCGTCTCGTTTCCGATGTTCGACGATTTGAATTGCAGTTTTCTTTTTTTTTTTTTTTTTTTTTTTTTTTTTTTCTGACAAGAATTTTCGCGATTAACTAGTACATATTTATAAATGTAAATATATGTATATACTTGTAAAATGTATTACGAATTATGTCATTAATTTAACAATTTACAATATGAATAGTACATGATAATTTAATCTGATTTAGTATTTTTATCTATTGCCAATGAATAAAATATTCAACTAGCTTGTTTGAGATGTCACATTCTTATTTTTTCTAACTTACTTTAGATATACGATACGAAAAAAAATAGATCATTACGGTTAAATTTCTGGGAAGTTAAATATTATATGTGGATCGTCAGACTATACAGGTTGTCTCCTCACTGTCGAGGATATTTTTCACTTTTACGTTTTATTTTATTTGACGAGTTTCAGGCGACAAGTTTGCAATTGACGAGAAGTAAAATCTCCTGTCTCGATCTTAGTTCACTCGTTTAAATTAATCTGAGATTCTCGTTGCCTCTGAACTCTGATTGTAATGGGACACGATTCTGATATAAATACCGGCGACAATCGGTCAATGAAGACGACGCAGAAAAATAGCCGAGTAATTCTGTCACATCTTGAAACGCGGATAAAACGTGGAAAATACGAAAGGAGACGAATCGGATCTATAGAATAAGTTTTCCAGAGTTTTCTCTATCGCCTCTTTTCTCGCTGCCTTGATATACAGTAATGACCAAAAGTTTTGGTTCACTTGTACTTTATACAGATAGATGTTGTATCTGTGATGCGCGAGCGAAGGAGAATTGTCAGTTTTCGTAGAAATTTATAATATTTAAACTCAAATATTACGTATGTATGTATTAAATTTAAAAAAAAACGGTGTAATGTAAGATTAAATGTTTGATTTTGAACATATGTAAACGTCGATAACATATCTCGCGTTTTATTACACTTGGAAAATATATATCATTCTTTTGAAAATAATGGTTTATATTATTCTGACTAAAATCTGAATTGTATTCTTTTCTTGTCTGCCCATGACAGATATGTTAATTCATATTTTAAACATTTTATATACACAATGTACCGCCATTTTCATATCAAAATACATATATTTAAAAAAAATTTTTATATCAAAATATAAAATCGCTATTATGTTAAAAGCGTGCAGTGATATTAAAATATGTATGGGAACTGTTTAACACAAAAGCGATGTAAGTCAATTTTTTGCCCATTTGGTTTAATATCGCGTTCCGAAAGCTTAACCTCCATTCTCTTTCATACATATAAAAGCGATATAAGATATAACAATGGCTCTGCATAAAAGAGACATAACATTCTTTCTTTTACGTCATCCCGCTTTTGCATAAAAGGCTCATCTATTTCGCACGTAGAACGCGTGCTCAAACTTTTGGCCATTAGTGTAGCCATGCTGACACATCGTTCGACGCGTTCAGGAATTTTTTCCCCAACTTTTCACCCTTTCTCGTCAACGTAACGAACCATCGCCCCTATCGCAAGTAAATTCGATCGGTGAATCGTAAAACAGTTTACAGCTATTCTTTGACCCAACTGCGTGGAAAATGTGCAATTTCCCTTCTTGTTTCATTCCGTAA